CCCCAAAACCCCAAAACCCCAAAACCCCAAAACCCCGTGAATTTTGAATTCGAATATTTTTTTGAGACTGCTTTAATTAATTCAGCAATATGCTTAGGATAATTAATAGTATTTGATAAGATATAAATTCAAGGCATGATCATTTTGGTGGCATTATCACTAATTTTATTCTATCTTCTCTGGGATAAAATTCTAAAGACATATTACAGATATTGGTATTATACAAGTCAAGGAATTCAGGCTACATATTTCCCAATACCCCTAATAGGAAATTCACTTAAACTACTTGAGGCAACAAAAAATGCAAATGAGTATACTGATCAAATTTTATACGAATACTTCAAAAATTATTTCAAAGGCAAACAAATCCCTAAGATATTTGTAGATTTTCTTACAGCTCAAGGACATCTAGTTGTTAGTGATCCAGATATTCTATAAGAGTTATATGTAACTAAGGCTAAGTTCGTAGATAAAGAATTGAGGAATCGGACGTTATTTTAAAAGTTAGTTGGAAGATCTATATTACTGGAGCCATCTACTGAAGAGCAAGCATTAAAGAGAAAAAGACTCTCAGTGGCATTTTACAAAGATAAGATGACTATAAATCTAAGAATACTTGTTAAAAAGACCTATGATTGGGTGTAGTCCTTGAAGTAGGATATAAAAAATGGGTAAAATGAGAAAGAATTAGGCAAAATTATTAGTGATCATGTAACAGCATGCATATTAGCTAGTGTGTTTGGTTAAACAAAATCAAAGCAAACACTTGAATTTCTTAAACCTGATGGGATAGAGGAGTTGTCAATAGGTTCATGTGTGGCAAAATTCTTTTTCCAACTAGTCAGAAGATAGATAACTCCACTTAGATAGATCACAAGATTGTTTGACAAGCATTACATTGGCCAAAATGAAAAATTACTAGCCTAAAACCTTGATAATTACAGAGCTTATTTGTAGCAGCTTATTGATGAAAGAAAAGAATAGCTTAAAGACCCAAATTTTTAGAGTGCAGATTTCCTAACACTACTTCTAACAGATGAACTCTATATGAATGATAATGATCTAATGAAAGATGAGATAAGTACTTTTATGTTCGCTGCTACTTAGACTACAGCATCAATGATAAATAATCTTCTTTATTACTTTGAGTTCATTCCAGAAGTGAAAGAAAAGTTAAGAGCAGAAGTAATAAATGTCATGGCAAATGAAGAATAGAAAAAATCTCTTAAGTCTCTTGAAAAACTTGGCTATGACCAATTATAAGAAGGATGGCAGTATCTTTACCTACTTATTCAGGAAACCTTAAGAATTGAGCCCCCAGTTAGGTCAGCTACAGCAATGCAATTAAGGTAAAAGATGAATATTGGTGGGTATACAGTTGATTCAGAGACACCTATTTTGGTTCATTTTATGCTACTACACAAGAATCCAAAGGAGTGGCAAGAACCAGACAAATTCATTCCAGAGAGATTTGATCCAAACAGTCGATACTTCCTCACACCTGATGGAAGAAAGAGAAAAGCCAACAGCTTTAGTCCATTCTTAGGTGGAAGAAGAATTTGCTTGGGCAAAACTTTCGCTGAAAATATTGCTAAGTTGGTTATTCCTATATTCATTTCAGAACTAGATTTCAAGTTTAAAAAGCCAGAGCACTATTTAAGGAAACCTCCAAAGAGTGTCTCATTAGAAGTAAACATTCCCATCCTACTGTCTTAAATCAAGAAAGAGTGATAAACGATTATTATGATTTCATTAATTCTATTTCATTTAATCTCTTTATTTCATAAATCAAATTTCATCAGCATGGGGTTTTGGGGTTTTGGGG